ACCTCTTACTTTGGCAAGTAGCGACTGGGATCTTAAAAGCTAGCAAGCTGCCATCTAGATGCAACGATGGGTTTCTCCTCATCCAGACCAAAGAAGAATGAAGAAAACAAAAATTCATGGAAAGAATTAGTCCTAGTGATTGGTACACCATCCAATCTGCAGCCTATATGACTATGACATCAGAAGAATTAGATGGTGCCCGGCTACCACTGTCATTCACTTGGAAGGGGATCTAAATAGGAGATCCTTGATGGAGAGGGAGAACAATGTGGAACAAAACTCAAAATCATTTGGAGGAAAAAAAAGGCGGGGGAGGACCAGGTTTGCTGGTCCGATAGAGCCTTGTGGAACCACTGAGACTATGGCCCCTAACTGCCCTTCAGGTCTGGAATTAAATCCACACCTGTGGTTTTCAGCCAAACAAAAGACAGGCATATGAGTTGAACATCAAGTAGATACTCTCCTTGGAGAGAACAATCATGGGAGAAAGAAGGGCTGCTTATGCATAGGGAGGCAGCTCAGGGGTCAGGAGTCTATGGAGGGATGGAAGAGGTAACTATGGGAAGGAAGTGGGAGGGGAGCTGTTGCATTGTGGTAAACTGTGGTTAATGTCATGAGACAAAGTATATGTAAACTGTTGTATGGAAAGTGAATTTGCTCTGTAAATCTTCACCCAAATCACAATTTAAAAAAAGAGAGAGAGAGAGAGAGAGAGATCAGTCACCATGAGACACCAATTAGAACAGTTAACATTGACTGCACCAAATGTTGACAAGGATGTGGAGCAACTAAAACTCTCATATTCTACTGGCAGCAAAGTTAAATGGTACAACTACTTTGGAAAAGTTTGACAGTTTATTTAAAAGTTAAACATACTCTTGCCATATGATTCAGTCATTCCACTACTAAATATTTACTCTAGAGAAATGAAAGCATTCATACAAAGGCATACACGAGAGTGTTCGTAGCAGCATTATTTGTAATAGCCTCAAACTCAAAAGAATCCCAAAGTTGATACACAGATAAATGGGTAAACAAATTGTGATATATCTATACAATGAAATACTACATATTAATTTTTTTAAATGAGTTATTGACATATCTAATTAGAATAAGTGAAAGAAACAAGAAAAAAAGTGAAAATATATATAATCCCATTGATATAGAACTTTAGAAAATAAAACAACTAATCTACAGTGGCATAAAGTAGATGAGTGTTTATCTTCAGATGAGGGTGGCTCGGAGGGATGGAGTGCTGAGGGCCTCCAAAGGGGCACAAGAAAACTTTCAGGGATAATGGATATGCTCCTTATCTTTATTGTGGTGATAGTTTCACAGGTGTATGTAGAAGTCAAAGCAAATCAAATGGTATATTTTAATATGTAGAGTTTATTCTGTGTCAATTATATCTCAATAAAGCTGTTATTAAAAAAATCATTTCCAGTTTAAAATTTGGACCTGGAAAAATATTGGACAAAAAATATCTAGAAAACACAAGGAGAGACAGAGAAATAGACAATTTGAATGCATCAAAAATTGTCAGATAAATCCCTCTATAATAAGTGATAGATATAGCAGGTGGATAGGAAGTAGTATATGCAATACCTTTCAGAGAAGTTTTCAAAGGAAGGTCTACTTAGGCAGTTAAGGGGCAGTGGTGGTTCAGTAAAGAGTCTTGGTTGTGCAGTGGTTCAAGCACTTAGCTGCTATTGGAAAGGCTGATAGTCAAACCCACCAACTGCTCCACAAAAGAAAGATGTGGCACTCTGTTTGCAAAGATCTCAGTCTTGGAAACTCTACAAGGAAGTTCTACTTTGTCCTATAGGGTTGCTATGAGTTGGAACTGACTCAGTGACAGCAGCATTGGTGGCTCTCACTTCCATGCAGAAGACCTGGATTTATTTGCAGCCAGTTTCTCTCAAGCATAACCACCAACCACCTGCCAGTGGAAGCTTGTATGTTGCTATGATGCTGAACAGATTTCAGAGGAGCTCTCAGACTAAGATGGACTAGTAAAAAAAGGCCTGGCAATCTACTTGCAAAAATTACCAAAACCCACTGCCATCCTGTCGATTCTGACTCATAGCAACCCTTTCAGGACAGAGTAGAACTGCCCCATATGGTTTCCAAGGTTGTAAATCTTTATGGAAGCAGACTGCCTCATCTTTGTCCTGTGGAGTGACTGGGTGGATCACAATGGTTTAATCTGTAACCAATCATGGGAATGGTGCAAGACTGGGTAAGGTTTCATTCTGTTGTGCATGGAGCCCCCGTAAA